GAGCGTTGCTAAGCTGGGAGCGCTTGAGCTTTTGGACGCTCGGTGAACAGATAGGGAACGGGGCCTCCGGACGTGAACAACGACTTTCGTGGATCTTTTCTGGAGCAAAATCAACTTTAATCAACTTATCAGGTAGACGCTGAAATCACTTTTATAGCTGACGAAATAGTCTTGGGTTGTCCCAGGTAGGTAATGTCTTACCTAAAAACAGCATGACGGGATTTTAGGGCAATTTTACAAAAAAAAAAAACAAGAGGTAAAAAACAACGGATAAATAAAAGCCTTATAAATCCATCACATCTTCACGTTTGGCTAAGTATACTTACACATAAGAGATTGACTCAAACAGTCCACAACATTTTGAAACATAGTATATTGAATTTGAGAACTTTCAGAAAAAGCTCAGTAATCGCAAAATAAATTCAACGCTTACAAGTCATCCCTAGTTAGGCAAAATGAGGACTTATTCAATATGTTTGCTGCATTATCTGACCCGTTTTTTGCATCTTTGCGGCATGTAAAGTCCGAAAAAGATAACCCTAATATAAGCCCATTTGTAAGTAGAAAATAGTCAAAATTAAAGAAAATAAAAAATTGTTAAATATTTTGTTTCAGTTTTCAAATTCTTTTTATTTGAGCAAATACATAAAAAAAATTGTTTTCATTAAAAAATAACTATTTTTCACTTTGATATCCAATAAAATGGCGAATGAGTGTGGGTGTGGTACATTTTTTTTTTGTTTTTGCAAGACGTTGATGTACTATGTACAGTACATAACAAGTGGAACTTGCGACTCCAAGCACGTGCTTGTTCACCTTAGCAGTTAGTAGGCGCGAAAGAAATAAATAGAAAAGGATGCGAGGAAACTACTACCGGAGTGCTGTCGGATTGGTTGCTTGCATTCGTACTAAGTGGGTTAAGATTAAAGTTTTCAGTTTTGGAAGGCTATTAAGTTAATTAATTTTGATCCGATTCTATGCGTTTACTGCCATACTGAGGGTTCCAAACACAAGATCCATATTCTAAGATAGGACGTCATTGAATTCCTTCGACCATCGTTTAATGAAACCTAGCAATCCCCTGGCTATATTTACCATTCACGAAATATGTTCGATAAAGTCAAATTTAGGGTCCAAACGGACATCTAAATCGTCAACTATATCAACTCTAAGTGGAAACAACAACAACAAATAGCGGAAAGATGGCTCCAATAAATAGGAAGTTCCGACAATGGAGGAATGTAGGAATATGTAATAAAAATATGACTATTAACTGATAGCTTCACGCAAAGGAATTCAACATCGTTGCCTTCCTCAAAAGTTAATAATTCGGACGTGAGAGTGGAGTCGACCGCTATAAAGACACCTCCCCCAAGTCTGATAGGCCGATCTAGCCGGTATACTGTGAACACAGCTGGAGCTCAGAATCTCCGGCTTTAACCAGGTTTCTAGGAAAAAAATAACTTGGAAAGCAAATAACAGACTTTTAGAATACAATTTAGGAAGCTTACTACTTAAGTTTCTTGCATTTTGCAGTGCTCAGATCGGGCCTAGGAGGACCTAATTCCAAATTACAATTTTTCCACCTTAATTTTCTTTTTCGGCTCTGCTCTGCCTTGGATGGGAATTTAAAATGTTAATTTAAAAAATTACATTTTATTTATTTATTTTATTTTTTTAGTTAAAATAATGCATTTTAAATTTAGCTTAGAGTAATATTTCCTTTTCTTATAAAAATATTTAATTAATGTTACTTCTGTATCAGGTCACTTACTATATTCTGGATCTGGTCACACTAATCGTTGAGCTACGCTCTCTGAGAAAGCAGGTTACCCTCTCTCAGAAAGCGCCGCTTGTGAATTTCGGGGGTTTGAAAGGTCTGCCGCCTGCGAGAAAAGATCACTGTTTTAAAAGAGCACTTAAAATTTCTAAGCTAGAAAGAAGACGTGAAACGTGCACAAGAATAACATCCTGTCACACTTCTTTTTAATTTCTTAGAGAATGTTTAAAAAACATTACATGATAATTCCAATTCATTGATTTTGAATACAGAATTATCGTTAACTAAAGCCAGGCTTAGAGACTCAACTAATTTTATATTTTATATTTTTATATTTTATTATATAAAAATAAGTCGGGTTTTCCATTCGGATCCTACTACTCCAGAACGCACAAGCCGATTTTCACGGTTTTGCATTCGTTGGAAAGGTCTCGGAATTTGTGATTTTTGCAGTAAAGAAAATTCGGGAAAAATTACAACAGAAAAGCGGGAAACTCATTTTTGCATAAAGCGCCATCACTGATACATAGCATGCCATAATTCTCTACTCAGTTTATTTTATGAAACAAACCGAAATGTGTTCAATTTTGTGAAATTGTGAAGAAAAAGTAAAAAAATAAGTTATTCGTTTCCTAACAGTGCAATTGGAAACCAGCTTTTGTCTTTAAGGTGGTAAGATGAACTGAGTAAATTATGTGGATTTGAGGTTAAATTAACCACTCTGCCTATAGTCCTTGATCAAGACCTACCCAGAATTCCCCTGATAGTTCAACAACGCTATGATCCAAGTATTTCTGAAATAAGCCGACTACCATCGAATCGCTGCAGAATTACTATCCAATCGGGACCAGCGGTGAGAATATTCTCAGCTATTGCCGACCTGTCTTCGTCCACGATTTTAACTAATTTAATATTGGGCACTTTCGAATAGTTTAGTAAAACAAATGGTGCATCTGAAATTGGGAATTTTTAGCATTTAAGGCAAGCTTAGGACACTAAGCTTTTACGGAATTAACCTCATATATTTCAGCGGTTTTTTCAAGAAAAATTGCAACAGAAAAGGTGGTAAGTTGAACTGTGTAAATTATGTGGATTTGAGGTTAAATTAACCACTCTTCCTATAGACCCTGATCATATACGTAACTCTAGAATGCACAATCCGATTTTCACGGATTTGCAAATAAATAAGTTATTCGTTTCCTAACATTTCATTTGGAAACCAGCATTCGTATTTAAGGTGGTAAGTTGAACTGTGTAAATTATGTGGATTTGAGGTTAAATTAACCGCTCTGCCTATATTCCAAAATGCCTAGGCTGCTGTTGAGAGCCTGCCACGCTGGTTGGAATCCGCCTAGATGCTGCAGACCAGTTGATCTTCGTGTGCTCACGCGTTGTCTCAATCGGGCATTTTCCCTTACTAAATTTCGTCTTTCCTGGCTTAAGTTCTGTGATTACACTTGTTGCTGGCTTGCATGCCTTGTGCGTAGACCGATGTTCAAACGTCGTGATCTAGGCATTTTGGAATATAGGCAGAGCGGTTAATTAAACATCAAATCCACATAATTTACACAGTTCAACTTACCACCTTTTCTGTTGCAATTTATCTTGAAAAACCGCTGAAATATATGAGGTTAATTCCGTAAAAGCTTAGTGTCCTAAGCTTGCCTCAAATGCTACAAATTCCCAAGGCTCAGATGCACCATTTGTTTTACTGAACTATTCGAAAGTGCCCAATATCAAATTAGTTAAAATCGGGGACGAAGACAGGCCAGCAATAGCTAAAAATTCCCAAGTTCAGATGCACCATTTGTTTTACTAAACCATTCGAAAGTGCCCAATATTAAATTAGTTAAAATCGAGGACGAAGACAGGCCGGCAATAGCTGAGAATATTCCCACCCCTGGACCGGATTGGATAGTAATTCTGCAGCGATTCGATGGTAGTGTCGACTTACTTCAGAAATACTTGGATCAAAGCGTTGGTGAACTATCCGGGGAATTCTGGGTTGGTCTTGATCATGGACTATAGGCAGAGTGGTTAATTCAACGTCAAGTCCACAAAATTTACACAGTTCAACTTACCACCTTAGAGACAAAAGCTGGTTTCCAATTGCACTGTTAGGAAACGAATAACTTATTTTTTTACTTTATGCAAAAAGGAGTTTCCCGCTTTTCTGTTGTAATTTTTCCTGAATTTTTTTAACTGCAAAAATCATAAATTCCGAGACCTTTCCAAAGAATGCAAAACCGTGGAAATCGGTTCGTGCGTTCTGGAGTAGTAGGATCCGGATGGAAAAACCGACTTACTTTTATATAATAGATAGATCAACATAAAAAATTTACGTTTTTCAAACAAATTATTTTAAAAAATGTAATAATTTGCTTTATTTCTTTTTAATTATTTAATAAAATAAAAATATTTTTAAATTGCAAAATATATATTTTTTTTCTGATATTTTTGTATTATAAACAGCCTTTTGTCTGTCCGTTTCTATGCAAACAAGTCTCTCAGTTTTTGAACTACATGAAAGAAACTTTGCAGATAGTTTTCTGACTACTTTCACTAGTATGTAAGTAGGAACGGACCGGATCGAAGGACTATATCATAGAAACGATAGAACAATTTTTAGAACAAAATTATAACATCTATGGTTTTTAACATATAATATTTGCATCTTCCTTTTAGGTTTTCTCTTCCTTTGACCGAAATGAATCGATTCTCAAACATTTAATAGCAAACTGCAATGGTATACGAACTTCGCTGTCCCCAAGTTAACTTTCATTCTTGTTTTAATATTAAGCTGACCTATTGTTTTATAATAATTGCTTGAGCAGTAGCCAGTTAAATTATACATACCATAGGGAGAATTAGGATCGTCTTTGCAGTAGGGAAAGAGATAGGAGGAATGTTTTTATTATATTAATCATAAAGGATACTTAAAACATTTGAAAATTAAATTATTAATTATTAATAAATTATTAAAATTTGAATTCAACATTAACCAAAGTACATACATACATATGTATATACAAATTCTCTTAATGGATGTTCTCTCTGTCGTTTTATGTTTAACTCTCATTTTCAACTAGACTAAACAAGTTCCACAAAGATAGATGTGGTGAGTTTCTAGGCATGTCGACTGTTGGTTGCATTGTTACTAAGATCTATAACAGAAGTATACAAAGTTCACCACAAGTGTTAGTCTCTTGTAAGTCTCAGAAAGGCAAAGACAAAATAAAATATAATGGACTCTTTCAGTATTTTGTATATACCTATGTGTAGAAGAATTAGCAATGGAAAAGAATAGTGTTACTGGTCAAGTGATATTAGCATAACATTAAAAATATAGTCATGACTTGCCTAGTTTTATAAGTTCACAATAAGTTATATTATTATTTACTGAGTTAAATTCCTTAAAACAAAAAAAACAATTGTAAAAACATTTGTTTTGTTTGCAGGTTAAACCTGTTGATTTGGATGCAAAATATATATTGTTAGCCATGATAGCATTCCAAAGTAAAATATGGCGGCATTGTTTAATCAGCCGAATGACTTTCGCATTTACGATTTTATGCTTTATAAATATCAATACAAATGTTCCCCTCGGAGCACAGGCTACAACTGCTAATAGTGTACCGCGATCCTTGAATGGTAATACCAATTCTCGATTACCGCGTACTAGTGCAAGTCAACTTACTAATGGAAATAGTGCTTCAATAAATGTAAAATATTCTACAAAATCACCAAACACATCGAGAAATTTAAACTTGCGCACTAGGTAAGCATTTTCATTATGATAGAGTGTGTAAACACTAAAGAGGTAATGTAAGCTTTGCAAAAAAAAAACTTGTAAAACTAAAAGAATGCTGTAATAAACAGGTTTCTGCATTTCAGTTAGCTGTAAAAATAATAGTCTTACACACAGACTTTTACATATAAATAAAAATACATGTATGAATGTATATAAGGGTGTAGTCAATTGATTATATAAGCCAATATAGTATAATAATTGAATAATATTATATAATAATAACAATACAATAACAAAACTTTATGAATTCAATATAATTTAAATTCCAATGTTCCGTATTTATAAAAATGTAAGAAGCTAAAATCTCTGTTTACAAGCTTATACATAAATCGAACCAATTTTAATGTTTTTGTCAAGCTGCACTACCAATGTACTCTTGTGTTCTATGAATTTTTGTATTACTATAAGCAGAATAAATTAAATTTAAATTTATATTTAAACTTTTATCTCAACTCGTTTTGGATGTTTTTGTTAGATAACATAAGGTTTTGTTTAAAAGTCACATGGTACATATAAAAAAACACATTTTTGCGACGTTGATTTAGACAAATATTTTTTAATTTTGTTTTCGCAAAGTTCAATGCTTCTGTGCATATGTACAATATGTCAAGAAAAAGTTTACACAATGAAAACAAACTTTATTTTTTGACTTTGTATGCAAATTTAAACACCTTCTTTTCTATTTTATAAAAATTTTTTAATGCAAAACGATTCATATGTGTTTGCTTTATTAATTAAAGGAAAACACGAAAACATAACATTCAAAGAAACATAACAATTAACTTAAATATGAGATTACACATTTTTTCTACTGTCAAGAAACTCTTTACACAAAAACTATTTTCTTAGTTTAAATCTAAATATTAAGAAACCTATACTATTTTTTTATAATTTCAATACTTGGTATGACTCCCATTAGCATTTACTACCATATGGAGACGTTTTTTCATGGAATTGACTAGTTTTGGTAGGTCATATTCCAACGGAAGCTTTTGCCACTCTTCAATTACTGCCGTTTTGAGCGCTTGGCGGTTTTTGGTCTACCTTTTTGCCACTTTCTTCTTCATATACGCCCATAAATTATCGATGGGGTTAAGGTCGGGGCTCTGAGGAGGAGTATCGATTACCTTTTGGCAATTCTAAAGGAGCCATGTGCGCACAGTGAGCTCCTTATGTTTGGGGTCATTGTCTTGATAAAACTCAAATGTTGGCCTATTATCGACAATCAAACCAAATTTCTCCGCACTTTTCCTATGTATGTATATGTTTCCAAATGAGTCTACATACCCTGCAGTACCAAAATTCCTTTCCTTTCGAAAATCAAAAACAAATTACATGGGTCTCGTCCAGCGGAGACCGAGACAAAATAGCTGAAGAAAATTCTCCCTTGTTTTCGATCTGCGTTCGGAGCTGCAGTTGCGAGAGTTCGTAAATTAGAAAGAAATGGTGATGGATGTAAAAAATCGGTGTCAAAAATAAAACGGTATCGCACTGAGGTCAGAATATCCTTTTAAAAATAAGTTGGAATATTTATAAATATTTAAGATTATATTTAAATGGATGACCAATATGTCTGATTATCGGCCTTATGTGGATCTAATGGTGGGGCGAGAATTTTTGGTCTTCGGTTTTGTCTTACTTTTTCTAATTCTCTTTGCATTTTGCGTTGGCTTCTACAGTATTCATAAGTGTTTTGCGTATCAGTTAAAATTTCGTAAAAATGGAATAATATAATGAGGTAAGTGGAACTTATTTGTATTCAATTAATAAATTAAATTGCAGAATTTATATTAAACATAGATGCGACTATAATGAAGACGGCGTAAATGCGATTTTATTTTATTTTTATTTTTTTTTTACTTTACAGAGAGCAGTATATATTGAAGAACCCAGCAGCCGGTAAATGAGGCCGCACGCAAAAATTTTCTATGGGTTTTCCTGGCGGACTCCACTCGGAATGCCTTCTGCTATTGCTGGCGAATTTCCGGCGGAACTCCTATAGTATTTCTGCAGAAATCCGCCGAAATTCCAACTGGATTTATTTCGAAATTCCGGCTTTTTAAAACAGGAATGTTCCGGAGGAATTCCTATATAAATCTGACGCAACTTCTTACAGAATTCAAAAGGAACTTCGAATTCCTTATTTGCTACTCATGCTCTGAACAAATTCCGGGCGGAAGTCCGGGGGAGTTCCGGTCGACAGTACCATAAATTTGGGGGAATTCCGAAGGATTGGTAATGAAGGGTATATTTTTGCATTCATATTAGGGATGTCCAAAATATATCAAAATATCAATATATCGATATTTTTTGCGAAGAAATAAATATTTTTATCGTGAATTTTTTTTTTTATATTTTTTTTCGCTATTTTTTTGAGATTTTTTTTATATTTTAAGAGGACACTTTTTATCGGGACAAAGAAAGAAAACATGTTTTTGTTATCTTTCATATAAGATACTGTTAAAGCCTTAGTTCGGCGGAAAAAATGAAACTGAAACTAAAACAAGAAAAGAAGCTAACTTCGGCACGCCGAAGTTTGTATACCCTTGCAGATATTAGTCCATTACATTTTAGCTATACTTATTATGTTTACAGTTTGACAGTTACAGTTTTGCATTCCCAGCTTTACATTTTCTCTACGTCTACCGATCGTTTCTATGGCAGATATATGATATAGTTGTCTGAGTTTCATAAAATTTATACAAAAATTCTGAAATATTATAACATAGCCATAAGTCAAAAATGATGCAAAAATGTTGAAAAACAGTCAAGTTATAATTTTTTTTCTAAAAATTTATCGAACATTTGTATGGCAGCTATATGATATAGTCGTCCGATCCGGCCCGTTCCGACATACATATATAGCAGTGAGAGTATATAGAAGACTTTATGCGGAGTTTCATTCAGATAGCTTTTAAACTGAGGGACTAGTTTGCGTAGAAACAGACAGGCAGACAGATGGACAGACGGACATGGCTAGATCGACTCGGCTGTTGATGCTAATCAAGAATATATATACTTTATAGGGTCGGAAAGGTCTCCTTCCTTGCGTTGCAAAACTTCTGACTGAAATTATAATACCCTGCAAGGGTATAATGAATATGTTTGCTTTATTATTATTTAAGCATTTTTTTTGTTATCTTTTATATAATTATTATTTAAGCATTTTTTTTGTTATCTTTTATATAAGATAAATTTTTGTTCTGAATGATTTTAATCTAAATAAAAGCAAAAGAGAGTAAAAATAAATAATGTTTTTCTCTAATTTATTAAAATATAATTTAAGATCGTATGTGGCTTAATGTTTAGTGGTTATTGCCTATGCAGCTTGAAATTTAAAAATAAATTATAATAAAACAAAAATATCAAAAATATTTTATATCGATATTTTTTTCTGATAAATCAAATATTATTTTGATATTTTGTTTCAATAAAAAATATCATCGATACTATATTTTTAAATATTTCGACAACCCTAATTCATATACATATACATATGTCGGAGGCCTAAGTGGGGGTATCGGAGACATCGCACAGTAGCGACTTTTCTCATTTTACGTTGCAAAAATCATAACTTTTTGAAGCAAATAAGATAATCAAAAAAATTAAACGGCATTTGACAGGTAAAATGTAAGCCCACATAAAAATACCCTTTTTTAATTTGAATAAGAGGTAATGAATGTACTTGTCATATAAAAAAAATCATGACCATTGGTTATGTAGTTTTTGTGGAATATTACCTGAAAGCCGAATAATTTACATATTTTTTGAATGCTCATGTATCTTAAAAAAAAAATTGAAAATTTTGTTGATTAGAGATTTGAAATCCTTTGGAAATTCTATGTCGGATTTGTTAATTTAACCCTAGACGGTCATGCTTCGTCGATTCGACGACGCAAAATCACAAAAGTTCGAAAAATGAAAAAAAGGTCGTTTTTTATTCTTAGTTTTTAAGTATATTCTTAATATAATAATTAATTATTATTTCTAATTTTGAACAGTTAAAATGATGAATTAAACGATGTTAAATTTTTTTTTTTACAATATTTGTTTGTTTTTTAACAATTATACTTATTTTAAAATTGGCGTCGTCGATTCGACGAAGCATAACCTTAACGTAGGAAAAATAAGCATGACCGTCTAGGGTTAAAAACGATTTTGCGATTATTAACTTTCCTTTTTTTGCAATGGCTTTCGTTCGAGAGGCGTTACTGTGCATCGGTTCATTTTCCATGATTCTCTAGTTCGAGTTTCGCACAGAAAGTGCGGGCTTTGTTCTACGTTGCCTGTTATGACGTCAATTAATTCGCATGCCATCGCTCTCTTCTCTATCTCACCACTCCGCTCATTTATTTCACCATGCTCTCGCAGCACGCTAGTCAGCTGAAATACCCCAGGCGCCATGCTCAGTTGAGTTACACTAAAATGATGCTCACTCAACTCATCAGAATTTTAACACACTTCTTTATTCTAAATCGGGCTTATTATTTTGATTACATTCGAACATAGCTAGCTTTACGAATCTACGACACGGCCTTCCTGATATTTCACGAGTCCTCGCGTGTCGTGTCTCCTAATAGCTCGAAACATAACATTAATTTTCATTTATTATTTTACTAGCAAATACTCATTTTTATATTACAAAGTTCTTAATAAGTAACATGTGACACTTGAACTTATGAATGAGGTAGGTAAGGCAGATAGTCTTAAATTTTTAACAGTAATACTTATTTTTTGAATTATAAATACTTTTAATTTCAATTTGATTTAGCACTAATCGGTGCACAACATTTTTGGTAAACCTGTCCTTAGCTAACACATATAGATTCGACGGTTTTCCTACACGTGAACATGCAACATATAGTTGCCCATGAGAAAAACATTGATTTTCCAAATGTAAATCACAAATAGACGTTTGACCTTGAGACTTATTCATAGACACGGCAAAAGATAAACGAATTAAAAAT